AAGTAGGTTGTTCAATAGCTAGAGAATTAATCAAGTAACATCTATTTTGGTTAATGAATCATTAAGGGAAGATCGTGGACATCATACATGTTGTTGTCCTACGGTGAATATTCATGTAAAGGATAGGTTAATAATTAAATCAATGATCAAAGTCTAAACCAAAAATGGATATTGAACTTTAACCAAAGCCTTTCTCACTATTATTATTTATATTTACTTTCTTCACACTACGTAACAATCAAACAATAAAAATCATTAAATAGGCCACTTTTCTATGAGTTCGAACCTTACTTATCCTATCTATACCCTTGTGGTTAGGTTCCCCGAGGAAAAAAATAAATAAATAATTTATTGATGGTACGACATGCCATCAAATTTTGGCACCTTTGTTGAGGAATTACATTCAAATTGATGGTTTATTAACATTCGACTATTTCAAAGGTCACGTCGAGCTAACGATATTAAATATAAGCACTTATTGAGAGGCAATCCAATGAATGCATTTTGAATTTTTTTTCTTTTTTATTATATAATTTTTATTTTTAGTTTTCTCTAAATTCCGTTCATGCTTAACTTAATCTTAAGAATGCTTGCGGCATAGGTGTTCTTTAGTTTTGAAAGAAGGAGAAGGAAAAAGGAAACCGCATGGATAGTAATAGAAGAGCACAACAATATGCGCATGAAAAAAAAGACACATCCATATGCACAAGTAGTGGTTGAGTGTTCAAGCAACAAGAGAAACCATATGGGCAATAGCAAGAGACACAAATTGACCTTCAAAAAGGGCACATTCGTGTAGCCCTCAAGTTGTGTTGCACTTTCAAGATAGAAAACACAAAGTACATGTAGTAACAAATGACACAAGTTGTGCACCAATTTCGGGCATGCCCATGTATCTTTTGCCCACCACTTTAACTCCTAAGAAAGAAAGAAGGCATGAGCGGTAGGGATTCACATAGTTTGCAAGAGAAAATCCATATGGCGAGTGTGGATTATGAGCCATTGTAATGAAGAGAAAGAAAGAAATATGGCATGGAAAGTAACATTATACATGAGTTGTACAACATAATTGAGCACGGGTATGTGTTTTACGCTTCCCTTCCACCTACCATCCATTACCTTCCTTTTGATCTGCTATAATTCAAGATTTGATCTCTTACCCTTTCTCTTTCAATTTTATATGTGTTTGATCAATTTCACATTTAAATTAAGGATAATGTAAAATTTAAGTGTGGGGGAAGGATTTAGAATTTTTTGTAATTGTTCGTGTGTTTATGCTTTAGTTTTAGGCTATATATCTATAATAAAAAAAAAAAAAAGATGAAATGAATGGCATGGTTTAGTATGATATCCTTCTTAATTGATGACCGATGATGAATTTTAACAAAATTGGATGAGATAATTGAGATTGTTTAGGATATTATTATTATAGAAGTGCATGCATACTAGAAAACTTTATGTATCTTTATGATTGAGCATGATTTAGGTAGAAATATTGATTTTACAAGTATATTTTGAAACTAGACCTAAGAATGGTTTAAATAAATGAGATTTTATAATTCTTATGGATATTTAAAAAAAGGAAAAATAAAGCATTCCAAATGGAAAATTTAGCCTAATTAAGTAAAAATCTACTCCAATGATTTGAGTTGCTTAGTAACTAGAAGTATTCTTCATAAATGTTTACTTTTACGTCAAATGACAATTTAAATTATGAGTATGCAAAGCACTCTAATTTTATGACGTGCTAAGTAATTGGTTACATTCATCATAAATGTTGGTAATTACATAAAAAGGCAATTGATTATTTAGAGAAGAACTATTAAAGGCCTTGAAAAATATTAGGATGCTAAAGGAAGAAAAAATTTTGATCAAAAGAATTCTCGATTTATTACTTTTTCATGTATTGGTGGAAAAGGAGTAAAGGCAAAATAATTATTGCATTTTTGAATTGTGGTTAGGTATAAAGATGCATAAATCAATTTAGAGACATGCATAGATATGAGAATAATGTCTTGAAAATGATCGATTTGACTATTTGATCTTATTAAATTCTGAATTGAGCATAAATGTTTGAAAGAAAATCATATTGACATGACATTTATTTAAGCGATTTTGTGGATTTATCTTTGAAAACCCTCACGAGACATAACTCCTCCACTGGGTAACCTAGGGGTTTAAAGGCTTGTTCTATGTGCTAAATGCAATTATGATTTCTACAAAAATGAGTTAAGGTTTTTTTTTTTTTTTTTGCTTGCTTAAGGGCTAGCAAAATTTAAGCGTGGAGGTATTTAATAGGTGAATAATTTATACAAATTTTATGTCCTTTTTCATTAAACTTACTAGTTCTTGTTATGTTATATTGAAATAAGTAAGAACAAGTTAACAATTATGGATTTATAGAAAAAATGATGAATTTAAGCAAAGAAATCCAAGCTAAAGTAAGGAGATGCAAAAGTCACCAATAAAGCTTAAGAGTCACACGACCTTACACATTACAAAGGGAAATAACCACTCGGTTATGTGAAACAAAGGAAGAAAATATGTGGTTGATCAACAAGAAGCACCACACGGACGGTAGCCTTCCACACGACTAGAGCAAGGAAAGAAACACACCTCATATGTGTGTCAAGGCCAAATACCTTCCAAGAGAAAAGAAGTATCACATGGACGGAAGACATTCATACGAAATGCACTAAAGAAAAGATACATCCATGAGTATCGCAACAGAAACAAATAAAGCAATAAAGGCACACGAGCAAAATGAAGGGACACAAGATGAAGGCAAAATTCTATACGGGCGGATGCTAGGGACATGAGATGGAGTGCAAAAGGCACTTGATTTGTGCCTCTATCCAACAAATTGTGTAACACCAGCTCTCTAAGACTCTAAACCTTGTGAAATAAAATAGCAAACCATGTTTCTTTACTAAGCAATCCGTATGGCTATGAAAGACCGATATGTGTATGTTGTAACCTTACTTTTAGCTATAAATCGTGAGGTTAGGGTTTTATTTTGGAATTTCCACTTTTGAAGCCACCATAGATAGAAAACTCTTCATTGTAATCGATCATTAACAACTTTGTCGAAGGAAGTTGAAGCTTTTAGTTAAATCATTGTGAGATATTAACGGGTTTTAATTCTAAAGTTATCCTTTTTAAGTATTTTATATTTTATGCATGATTTGTTTATGATTGTGTGATTAATTAATTAGAGTGCATGCTAATTTTTTTATTATCATAATCTATTGCTAGCTAAGTATTTAAGTCCATATAATTGTTTGTCTAAACTTGTCTATGATAGTAACTAAGAGTTAATGATTATAAATGCGTTTTTGTTTAATCCCTTGAAAATATAGAACTAGATGACATCTTTCTAGCATCTAGAAGGGTGATTTAGCTTCACTTGTCTTTCTCTACTTCAATGATGTTATTGGATTAAATCTATCTAATGTCTAGCAGGTTGTTCAATAGTTTGGAAATTAATCAAGTAGCATGTATTTGATTAACGAATCACTAAAAAAAGATTGAGAACATATATGTTGTTATCCTAAGGTAAATATTCATGTTAAAAATAGATTAATAATTAAGTCAATAATCAACATCTAACCTAAAAGTGGATACTAAACTTTAACCGAGACCTTTCTCACTATTGTTATTTATATTTACTTTTGATTGCTTACAAATCACAACAAACACAAATTCCTTTTACTTTCTTTGCACTATAGAACAATCGGAAAATAGAAATCGTTGACTAGCCACTTTCTTGTGGGTTCAACCCTTTCTTACTCTATCTACACCTTTATAATTAGGTTTCATGAGGAAAACAAATAAATAACTAATTTGTTGGCGGTACGATATGCCATCAACGATCAATGGCTATCTTCATTTCACTATAATACCAATCTAATATCATTGTAAGGAGGATTTCAACTTTCTTGATCTTTAGCAAAGATCTCTAAACTCTCTATCGACCCAAATTCTCCTACTCACACACTAGCATTTAAAGTTTTATTATTCATTCGGAATTTGACACCTACCAACCACTCGACGTAAGTTTTACTAGCAATGTCTACTCTTTCTTCCATGCCTTAGTACTTGTATATATTTTATTTATTTAGTTCATCATTGTTTCTATAAGTCATAAAGTTAATTTTATGTATCTTGATAAGTTTGTTAACAAATAGTTTGATTAGTTCCCCTAAAAAACCCCTCACACTCGAATGAAATATATATGTGTGTGTAAATTAATGTTTTTAAGCCATTTATTTTAATTTCTTGTGTGTAAACATAATATAATTTAATTATTTTATACGGTACCAAAGGTTAGATATTACCGTGTGCTTGTAGAGTCAAAAGTTTTACATCACCTAATTAATTATATGCGTGTTTTATCGAATATATGGACTAACCATGTTTTTACCACGGTTTTGTTAAAGAGTATATAATATCTCTGGTAAGAAAGAAAGGGAAAAAAAAAAGACACGATATTGAAAAAAGAACGATAAAAGATAAAATCATGCTATTTTTTTCTCCCCCTTTGATATTGCTCTTTAGTCTATTTATGAGTAGATCACAAATTGGTCTCTTCATACATTATGGTTCAGTTAAATCGTTTTTATAGACTCTAAATGCATGCTTAATTACATGTTCATGATGCTATCTGTCTAAATTTTTTTCCTATATTTATGTTATGTTTTATGATCGATAAAGATAAGCTCCAATTGATTTGGACTAGGTTCACTAAATATGTCCTAAAAACACAAATTCATCAAATTAATAAAAGAACAAAAATATTTATTCATCCCCAATACTCAACAATGGCATAGTCTTATAAAATAATCCTCAACAAACCGGATACAATCAAATTGTAGCCCCGATCAAAGACAAATAAATCTAATTTACTAGATATATATATATATATATAAATAGTTGCTCATTCAATATATAAACTATTCTTCCAAAGAAAATCATCTTGAAGCCACCAACGATATGTTTGATTACATTGGAGCAGGGGCAGGGCCAGCGATTAAAGGTGCTGATTCTGAGCCAACAGGTCCAGGGGCTGCACCAGAGCTCATAAGCTGAATCATGGACCGGTGAGGGTTGTAGCGTGCAGCATCACAGAGGTCAGGCAAAAATGCACCTGCATGTGTCAAAAGACATTATTATGAGACAAAATAGCCATTTGACAGAATATTAATGGATGCTATAAAAAAAAAAAGTTAATTAAAAGTTCCGACAGAATTTTAAGCCATGCATGGTTCCCTGCACAGTATAACCTTTACACAAGGAAGGATAATTCTTTGATCGATAGGACAGGTAATTCTTTGATTGAAGGTGAAGTAAGCAAGCCACCAAATTAAATGCTTTATTTAGTGGAAAAGAAAAGATCAAACAAGAACATGAACAATTAAGTATTCCAAGCCCATGCTAATATCCTCTGCAATTAGTGCAAAAGATGAAAAGTCATAACCATCAATGGTTAATTTGTCCTTTTGACCTGGTCTTATTCCATGCATTCCAACAGGAAGTCATCAAATTAAGAAGCCGGATTTACCAAGAAACTACCAACGCTGATTTTGACATTAAAAAGCCCCATGTTGTTGGATTGGTCCCTCATTAGGACATAATACCAGCAAGCCAACATCATAAACATGCTATTACATTATTGATTTTTCAAGAAATCTATATACTCATTGCGGTCAAATATGACCTAACATCTTTTTTCATTTTTTTCCCGCCAGTTTAATTAAAAAATCTTACCAAAATATCAAATAGAAAAACGAAATAAAGAAGAGAAAAAAAACTTCATAAATTAAATGGATATATATAACTGTATTAAAAAATTATCTCAATTTAAAAACTAAAAATTCTTATTACAAGCTTATGCTATATCATGCTATTATATTTTTTATTAGAAGAAAAATTGGACTTAGTGATATTCAAATTTTTAACCGTTAGGATAAAAAAGCTTTGCTATAGTATCATATAAAAAAAAAGATCATTTTAATTTCAAATTTTAAATTTTTATGTGGGATCCAAAATATTATTTATATTATTTGCTAATAAGCTGAACCAAATGTTGAACGTGCATACCATTCACCAATATTACATATTTAAACTAGCATTATTCCCTTTATATATATATATATATATATAATCATGAGCCATTAACATTCCTTTGAGAAGGAATTGAAGAAACAAAATTGTTCGATTAAACACATGCATATAGATTGTAAAATCTTACCTTCTCCAGCAGCCAAATTGAAGTAAAGGTCAACAATGTTGGGGCAATTCTGGTAACAAGCAGGAGAGCAAAGCTTGGCTGTGAATTGAGGCTCAAGGAGAGCATCAGAAGAAATTCCAACCGAGTTCCTATCAACCCCACAAGCCTTCACACAAGCATTGGTCTCAATATAATCTGCCATTTTCTCAACCACCACCTCGGATGTCCTGCACTGGTACTCAACACCGCCATTTTTTGTTGAAATTGTCTCCAACAAGCACCTCTTGCTAGATGATGAGATGCTAAAGGCACAAATGTCATTTGGCAATTCCTCACATACAATTTCAGCTGCCAATTAAAACAAAATTTACCATCATTACGAAAATTCATTCAAAAAAAAAAAAATAACTAACAAATCAACAAACAAGAATGTGTATCTAAATATTTGCATGGTGTAATAGAATTACCTAAAGCTGCATTGAGGAAGAGGGAAGATAGGAGGAGAACCAATGGGAATTTGAATGAAGCCATTTGTTCTAATCAAGCTTTGATTGATAGAATTGTTTATACGGACGATGATGATTTCTTAACTGGCAAGACAATGAAGAGGGTTTTTTGAGACGAGAGAGTAGAGGGGAATGAATTTATAATGAGAAATGGTGGAATGGTTATATAGAGAATGCAAACCGCCATTGAGGTGCTTCTTTGCTTGTCATATTTGTACTTGTCTTCGACAATTACGCGTAGACCTATTTTTGGGGACGCGTTAATTATATCTGGCAGGCTACCGATGCTTGATATTCTCTGTGGAGCCCATGCCTTAAGTTGTTTTTTTCCTAAATTCGTCTAACCTTCTCTTGAATTTTGACATAATGGAAATTAATCTCTCGAATTATAATTTCACGTTGGATTTTTTTAATTACTTTTCATTCAAAATTAAATTTTTTTATGTTAGATTTTGATCAAATGTACTTTTCGTTATAAATATAATTTCTTAACAAATAAAAAATACAAAAGCTTATAAATTTTTTTTTTCAAAATTTGTTTATTTCCTTCTAATCATGTTAAGAAATAAAAAGATAAAGAATATTTTAGAAAAAAATAAAACAAGTTTTAAAAAATATATATTTATATATTTTGATATATTTTTACGTATTGAAAAAGTTAAAAGTCAATTATGTAAAAATAACGTGTATTTTCATGATAAAAATCTAATAAAAGTATCTAAATTCCAATAAAAAATAATTTGAGGGAATTCTAACATGAAATTAAAAGTTAAATGACTAATTCTTAAATGACTTAAAGTTTAAGAAAAGTTTGATACATTTAATCTAGTTTGTTAGAAAATATAAAAAATATATATATATTGAAAAATAAAAACAAACGTGTTTGGACGTCTGTTTAGTGGACTTAATTCCTAACCATGCAGAAGTTTCTTATAGTTTACCATGTCAAATTTCTCAATTTGGATGCATTGACTACGGCTCATCAACTCCATCCCATCGGCTCCAAATAAATAATATTAAAGCTAGCCGGTGACTTCTTTATAAACCTATACCATTGTCTCTCCGTCATGATTCATGAACTTATTTTGAGGTTACGCTGATTTTAATTGTATAATGTATTGTCAAATGATATATGTTTAGTGATAGCGTAGTTGTTTTAGTTTGATCAAAATTAAAATTTAATTATCATTATTCATAAATAATTAATCATAATTATTTTTTTATGAATATCAAAATTAGATTAATTTGATCTAAAAATATATAGTTATAAAAAAGAACTATATATGCTGACATTTATAAATTTAATCTATATTAATATAAAAATTAATTTAAAAATATTTCTCTATACATGTGTATGTATATGTATTTTTCTCACAACGTGAGGCCATTTCCTAGCAAGATTGACCTTGTAACAGAATTATAAATTTTGCACGACTTGAATACAAAACGGCTGAAGCCTGAACCGAGGGTAACGAGCTCACATGTGAATTGACCACTCTTTAAAATAAAATAAAAAATTAAAAGACATGGAAATTTGACCGGACTTGCCAGCGGATGTTTAATTTGTAAGAGAAAATGATGTATGCATGTCCTGCCAGCAGTGATGCTCTTTTGGTCCGTCGGGCACGTCCAGTGACAGCATTAATGACACATGTCACCTACCAATGGTGACAGTCAGCTTGAATGAAAAGTCAGCAGTCTTCTTAGAAGATGCAACGAAGGCAGCCATGGTTGAATTAATAAGCAAGCAATTTCCAGTTCCCCATCCATCCCTGTACCTATCGAGTTTCTCTTACGCAACCAATGACTAAAAACACAAGCCTTTGTTTTTTTCTCAATTTTCAAAGAGATTGTTATTTTTTATTTTTCATTCATATTAAAAAATATTATTAATTTTTTAAAATATATCTTATTTATATTTTTTTAAAATAAAATTTTCAAAAAAATTGTATTTAAATATTTTTCTATAAAATAAATTTTAATTAGAAAAAAATTACCTCACTTAAAATTTTAATCAAACATATATAAATAAAATTTTAAAACAACAGTGAAATGCGTTGAAATCATCAAATCATTGCCTTAATTATTAAGGTTCTAGAACTTACCGTTATTTAAAAAAAAAAAAAAACGTGCTTCTTCTTTTTACAAAGTCTAGAAGGTCAAGCTCTTGTGACTTTGGAAATTCAAGAAATCCCTCCATCTAAAACCCCAATCATATTTCAGAGTTGATTATAAATTAATCTCTCTAATTTTGAAAAATAAATTCATCAGTACTTATTTCAAAATCTAGTTATTTAATTCATACTCTCACAGAATATAATATTTTAAGACAGATATAAATAAAATAATATTAAATTAAATATAATCAAGACTCTCAAAGAAATTATCCTTCTTTTTATTTATATATGTACTAAAATAATTATCTAGTCAAAACTTTAAATATTATATTTTTCTTAAATACCTCTAATCAATTCTTCTTCTTTCTTCATTTCTTTCTTCTTCTTTTTTACTAACTAAAGAGTTAATTATTGTTTGGACGGGTATTTTAGGGAAAAAAAGTATAATTAATAGTTCTCTAAAACTGTGAACATTTTGGGACAAATAGAGTAATAAAATTGAAACACACTCATATACAAAATGCAAGAACTAACTGGACAATTGAAATTTTGTTTGCAAACGAGTCTAATTAATTGGATGCAATTGATAAAACTTGAAAATATAAGGTCAATTTGATGATTTTTTTGAAATGGTTTGTTTGCTAATTCGATACTAATACAGAATACAAAAGCGAAAACGAAGACATTTATTCGACTCTCCATGGGACGCAAATATACCAGAACTAATTAGTTAAATAAATCTAAAAACCACCCATGTATTTGACTCTCCCTTAACATCGCACAATAATTAATGGACAAAAATATGCCAGAATTAATTAATTACATAAACACTAAGAAATCTTTATAACAAAATTATGTTTCTTAAACAGTCTTACAACTATTTATTTATTTTCTTACAAATTCGTCATCTTATAAAATGATTTATGATCCGACGAGTCAATAATGTTAAAACTACGTATAATGTAAATATAGATAGAGTAATAACTAATGAGAGATTACGAGGGAGAAATTATTAGATATTTTCAACATAATATTCTTCGCTCACATAACATAAAAAATGGGATCCACGATATTATATAATTTATTTATTTTTAATGGAAAACACATCATTGATTCATTATAGATAAATTATTAAATACTCACATTCTACCATTCTCTCGTTCATCTAAAAGTAATATTCACTAATATATAATTTTTATATCAATTAAAATTAAATTCATATATTTTTTACTAAATAGGCATTAGATCGTATTTAATTTTTGAACAATTTTAAATATTAAACTTTTTGAACCTAATAGCATATCATTTAAAAAAAAAAGAACTTGTTCCATCTTAAATAGTAAATACTACTTTTTTTTTATCCACATTATACTCGTAGATTGGATATAACATATAAAATTATTTTTTAAAAATTATTTCGATTTGATGTTCCTTGATAAATTATGCATATACTAAAATATATCAAATTAACATTGAATAAAAATTCATTCAATTTTATAATTTTTAATCAAAATTTTGTATTTGATTGATTACTCTTTATGTTTTTTATAATTTTTTTATTAAAAAAATTATTTATTTATTTCTATCCATAAACTAAAAAATTTATAATAATATAAAAAATATCAAAATCAATATTTTCTTAGTTAAAAACGTATTTTGTAAATTTTTTTATAACATTTTTTTGCCTCAAAATTTGTAATTAAAAAATCAAAGAAAAAAGAAAGGATGAAAGTTATCAAAAGAAAACAAAAAAAAAGGACCAAAATTAAATCAAAAATATTTACAAACTAAAAAATTAATATTAAAAAAATTAAAATATAATATCACGAAAATTTTTATAATAAATATTTTTAAAATACTTAAAAATTATAAAAATATTATTGTATAGTGAAAGGAACAATACATCCAAGTCTTAGTGAATAGTACAAATGAATTTAGATGAAAAGTGCTTCAAATAATATAATTCAAATAATATAATAAATAGTAATGGAATTGTTTTACTTTAGATTTTTTTAATATTTTATTATGTTTTCCACCAAACACAGCCCACTTATGTTTTGCTTAAACGGGCCGAAAACTAGACTAAACTTAGATTGGACACCAGCCCAATTAAACGGAAAAAACAAAACCCACTTGCAATTTGGAAATTGGGCATCCCCAATCAAGAAAAAGAAGAGTAAGTTATAAGGTAGTTCATCTAGTTTTGAAAAATAAATTAATTAGTCCTTCTTATTTTTAAAAATAATAATTAAGTCTTATTATATGTTTTAATTTTGTTACTAACTCTGTTTTTTTCTCAATTTTCTGTTAAATTAGTAATTTTTTTCAAATTATCTTTCTTTATGATATTTTTATTTTTCTCCTGCAGCTATTCGTTTTCTCTTTCCTTACCCAAAAATCAAAAGAAAGACAATTCAAAAAAAATTATTAATTTAATAAAAAAAATTGATGAAAGATTAAATTATTGATGAAATTAAAATATAAAAAATTAAATGATTAGTTTTTGAAAGAAAAAGAAAAGGGAATAATTTATAATTTACTAAGAAAAGAATCGTCGATATTGATACTCTAAGCTCTCGACCTGTTGGACCTTCCAAGGAACAATGATCACAAAAAGGGAGGCAAAACAACGATGATAAGTGTGGGTCCCAAAATTAACAGAAATTCTTTTCCCACCTCACAATCCTACCTTCGATTCCGAACGCAATCCATGTAGAGAAAGAAGAGCAAGAAAAAATCAAAAAAAACAAGAAGAGAAGCAGAAACAAGAACAAAGAAAGCCGTAGCCATGGTTGCACAAGCAGCAGCAGCAGGGACAACTTCATCATCACATCTTCTCTTCTCAAGCTCACATTCTCTGTCTCGCCTATCTCCTTTCCAGTTATGTGTCTTTGACTCAAAAACGCTTGTGTCCTACCCCAGCAGCGCTAATACTCTCAAGAAAAAACATGTTGGTGGTGGGCTTAAGTGCATGGCTGTAAGCACAGCCTCAGAGGCTGCAACAAAGAAGAGTAAGTTTGAGATTCAAACAATGACTGGTTGGCTGTTGAAGCAAGAACAAGCAGGTGTTATTGATGCTGAACTCACTATTGTGCTTTCTAGCATTTCAATGGCATGTAAGCAGATAGCTTCTTTGGTGCAAAGAGCTAGTATTTCTAACTTAACTGGAGTTCAGGGTGCTGTTAATATTCAAGGAGAAGACCAGAAGAAGCTTGACGTGGTCTCTAATGAGGTCTGTACTGATGAACAACTAATAGTGATTCTTTTCTTCATGAATTAGATGCATTTAGATTGAACCACTGGGCAGAATATTTAAATTAGTTAGTTTGCAACTACAGGTGTTCTCTAGCTGCTTGAGATCAAGTGGGAGAACAGGAATCATAGCATCAGAGGAAGAGGATGTGCCGGTGGCAGTAGAGGAGAGTTACTCTGGAAACTATATAGTGGTTTTTGACCCACTTGATGGATCATCCAACATTGATGCAGCAGTGTCTACTGGTTCCATCTTTGGAATATACAGCCCAAATGATGAGTGTCTTGCTGATATTGGAGATGATTCTACTGTAAGTCTATCCATGTCTAATACAAAAAGCAAGTTGATGGGCACTTTTCATGTTCCATCTCAATTTTATCAAGCAGAAAAGAAGACAGCCTATGGCTTGTATTTGATTGTTTGAAAATTTTGTAATTGCAGCTTGACCAAACGGAACTGAGGTGTATTGTGAATGTTTGTCAGCCAGGAGATAACCTTCTTGCTGCTGGCTACTGCATGTATTCTAGCTCTGTGATTTTTGTGCTCACTATTGGTAATGGAGTGTTTTCTTTCACCTTGGATCCGATGTATGGAGAGTTTGTTTTAACTCAAGAAAAAATCCAGATACCAAAAGCTGGAAAGATTTATTCATTTAATGAAGGAAACTACCAGTTATGGGATGACAAGTTGAAGAAGTACATTGATGACCTTAAAGACCCTGGTCCTAGTGGCAAGCCCTACTCTGCCAGATACATTGGAAGCTTGGTTGGCGACTTCCATCGGACGCTGCTGTACGGTGGCATTTATGGGTACCCCAGAGACAAGAAGAGCAAGAATGGGAAACTGAGGCTTCTCTATGAGTGTGCACCGATGAGCTTCATCGCGGAACAAGCCGGCGGGAAAGGATCAGATGGCCATCAGAGAGTATTGGACATCACACCTACTGAGGTCAGTCCAGTATGCTTCCTTCAATTCATACCTTTTTCGTTTCTTCTTTCTTGAGTTAATAACTGAGGCATTGCTTTTTCATCAGATACACCAGCGTGCTCCCCTTTACATTGGGAGCGTGGAGGAAGTGGAGAAATTGGAGAAGTATTTAGCTTGATTAAAACGTTAAAGCAAAGGATAAATGTTATCACTGGCCATGGCAGTTTCTCAGGAAATGCACTAATGGAATTAAGAACACAGAAAGTCAGTTGTGTCACAAATGTAAGATCTTTTTTTTTTTCTCTCGCTTAAAAGTAATGGAAGATTGAAATTCAATGCTAAAAATCTATCACTTGACTAACATGTGAGTGAAAAAATCCATATAAATTTAAATGTAAACTCAATCTTTTTTCTTGCATACAAGTAATGGAAGATTGAAATTCAATGTCAATATTAATCTATTTGCTGAGTTTTAGATTTGAGCGATGAGGAATCTCACTTAGATTAGTAACGAAAAGCTTGAAATGTTTATATATAAAAGAGACTTATAATACATTAGTTTAAACTTTTGAATTAAAATAATGTTCATACGTATGCATAAGCCCTTTCGTATGTGGCCTTCAGTGACTCTACAAGGCAAATTCTCTGTAACAAATGGTATCAGAGCAGATTCTGCTGCTTGAAACGAGTGGCGATTGTAGTTAGACTTTTATAGTTTTGTTAATTTCTCCATGATTGAGCAAAAAGAGCTAAGCTTCTAGCTCCAAGCTATGAATGTCATGCTCGAATTGTTAAATATAGGAAGGATTTTCAATGTGAAAGTGAGATTCACCTATGAGAGGAAGATCTGTTGACTTTTACATGTGAGTGGAGAATCTCACATATAACTCATTAATCTAGACTTTTAAGTTAAAGCAGGGTTTGTTCTTGTAAGTAAGTACTCATGTTTGCAGGTCCGAGAGACTTTTAAGTTAACGCATTGCAGCAGGCTTTCAAGAACGGCAAGAATATATTTGTCATTGTAAATTGAGTTACAATTGTTGATGAATTGTTTGCTGCCATTGCTTCTATATCAGCTTCACAAGGTTACAAATCTCCAAAAACGAGACAAAATTATGTGTGCAGAAAATGATTCATGGAAACAACTTGCGATATTAATTATAAGAACAAAAAGAAATCCGTGAACGCCAAATGAAATCAGATTGTTGAAAGGCTGTCGTCATAAAGTTCCATCATGTACCAACAAGGTCTGAGGGATTTCCAAGGAAATTCTAGATGAGACTGTCTACGGTATGAGTAACATAAGGAGTTAAATACACTCATCCAGTAATAATCAGATTAACTTCTCTATCCACGTATGATGTACAAATCAGCTATCCCATTAACTCTTTTTATTAAATCGACGATTAAATAATTATGTAATGACACATATCAATTAAAAAGTTTTCTATTCAAAATAATTAATTAACGATAAAAAATGATAAAAAAAATTAAAAGTAACAAGAAATTATGTTTTTATCATTTAATTGACACATGTCATCACATGACTAATTAGATATTAGTCAACTAATAAAGTTTAATCAATTTGACAAAAAATAAAGTTTAATCTATCTGATAAAAGAAGTTAGTGAAATGATTGATTTTTTCTAATGCCTAATAGGATAAGCTTTGTTATACAATATTTCTGAATTAAGAAAAGCTAAAAGGGTCTACTACTTCTCAACTTCAAGTTATTTAAGGTTGAGTGTATGAATTTTTTATTAGTTTTGGAGATCATTGAATTTTTAATTTTTTGAGATTTAATTCATTCAATGATTTTCAACTATCATCTTCTCCTAAAAAAATTTTAATTCTTAGTATTTTGAGTTAAAATTTTACACGTATGTTGGACATAATTCAATCTATTTTATAAAAAAAATTCTAAAATTTTTCAAAATCAAAAACTCTATTTATTTATTTTCTTAACATTAAAAATATAAAAAAGCAAAAAAATAGAAAATAACTCTGAAATAATTCTAAATTTCTTTTTTAGGAGGCTCATATAAATCTCATTGAATAATTTTTATCCTGAAATTATTTAAGTAATTGCTATTTTTTTTAGATAAATGACAGAAAACTAAAACATAGACTAAATTTCAAAAAAAAAAGTTTAAAAATCTCTAAAATTAATAAATAAAAAAAATGTTTAGAAACTCAGACTTAAAATTTATGGATTGTTAGATGCTTCTGGCCGGTAAAAAAAAAAAAAAAAACTATAGCTTACTTTTTACTATGTCTAGCTGTTTTGCAACTGCTTAAGGTCAAGTGGCCGCACGGGGATTATAGCCCCAGAGGAAGAAGATATACCTGTTGCAGTTGAAGAAACTTACTCTGGGAACTATATTTTGGTGTTTGATCCAATTGATGGGTCTGCCAACATTGATATAGCGTTGACTACAGGATCTATCTTTGGATTTATGGCCCTGACGAGCAATGCCTCTTTGACATTGATGCTGACTCAACACCAAGCCATCTTGTTTCTCACATTCTTTAGCGAAGCCAAGAAAACATGAGCAGTTCTTAGAACTTAGAAGTGCAAATCCTTTGCTAATTTGTGCGCTTAATAGCTAATTCAAGGCATTACAAGTTTGCATCAGTTTAGCACTCTTCACATTGCTCATCTCTTAACACCACAGCTTGATGAAGCAAAACAAAGGTGCATCATCAACGTCTGCCACTAGCTGCGGGTTATTGCCTCTATCCCAGCTCAGTTGTCTTCACAATATCCATAGGCAAAGGGGTGTTTGCTTTTACCTTGGATCATTCGGGGAATTTGTATTAACACATGAGGATATCAAGATTCCAAAAACGGGTAAAATCTACTCATTCAATGAAGGAAATTATGACTTGTGGGATGATAAACGTTATATAGGCTGCCTTGTTGGTGAAATACATAGGATGCTTCTATATGGCGGCATCAATGGAAATCCAAAGAACAAGAACAGCAAAGATGGGAACTTAAGGCTCCTGTATGAATGGGCGGCAATGAGTTACCTTCTGGAACAAGCTGGTGGAAAAGCAACAGATGGTCACCAGAGAATCCTCGACATAAAGCCAGCACAGGTAGTTGTTGCAGCTTTACCACTTCATCTTTAGGTTGAATTTTATGAATCTCAGCTTCAAAAAATTATCGTGCAAGAAAACAAACTTCTACAGTACCTAGCATGAGCTTAGATATCTCGATTATATCCTTTATTACCATTCTTTCAGCATGCTTATATACTGTGGCATTAGAATGAAGTACTCTTACAGAATTTCAATCTTTCTTAAAATTGATAAGAATGATCTCCATCAGAAATGTAAAATCAATGCAGGAAAGATTCAGCACTTGATATGGAACGAAATTGTGTAGCATAGAATGCTTATAGCAATGAGTCTTGGCAGAACTATGAATACTTTTGTGTATATATTATGATTAGGACATCAGACAGAAACTTACATGTGAGCTAAGAAATTGAGGGTTGGTCAAATGATAGACAAAAGCCATAAAGGATCCAGAGGTTATAAACCTAGGCAACTAGTGAAGATGGTCATGAATCTTCCGCAGTAAGTGCTGTACTGGTACCAGGTCAGTCTAAAGAGTCATTTGATTCTTCAAGTCAGTTACCAGCCAATCAATTCTCCTGATCCAAAGAACTCCTTCGACTTTTAGCTGCAATTTGAGAAAGAGAAATAATTCAGTGGCTCCAAAAAAAGGGAAGGTAGCATAAAGAATGAAACTGAGAAAATATACTCCCAGCATAAAGGTGAAGTGATAAATTTACCAGGGCTTAAAATTCTTATGCATTTTGTTATAGACTTCACAGCTGTTACATCAGGACCTGGAAAAAAAGAGAAAGAAAACTCATTATATGCTCAGCGATGGATACGTTCTGAATAATTATGTTGATGAGCTTCATTCACGTTACCTTGCATATGCATATCTTTTCCTGAAATCACCTCAGTCATAGTAGAGGAAAACTCCGACATGACTTGATCAGTCCCCAGATTACCATCCCGAGATTCATGTGATGACCTGTATATCATATGGAGCCAAACTATCAGAGGAAAGAAACCAAGAAAGGATTCATTGCAGTCATAAAGAGAATAGAGAAGTATTAGGTTATTAGAATATGGCCAAAGAAACCAATACCCTGAAATGGTGTCCGCAGAAGCTGCCAAGGCTGGCTGGCAGGGAGAAGCAAATCCTTCACAATCAAGGTCTAGATCCACCAACAGTTCAGAGAAGGAGAAGTTAGCCCCAAATACATCTAAGTTAGGCAAGTCTAAGTCAAAAATGTCCCCTTCCTTGTCGGACTCAGATGGAGAGAGCTCATTGTCAACTGGTTTATCCAAGTTCACTGTTGCATCAGAACCACCAAAGTCTAGCCTTCCTTTCACACAATCCCTCCTGCACATCCTCTTAACTGGTGAGGAAGAAGAAATGCACTGATTTCTCTCCATGGTGTAGTAGGTCATGTTTTTGAATGGGCTCACTGTAACCCTCTCTGATGTAATCACCGTACAGTTGGTAGGAGTGACTTGTTGAGGAGTATTGTTGTTACTGCAGTGAGCATTGGCAGAAATATCCTTTGGAGATACAGATTTGTCATCGTGAGAGGATAATGCTTGTGGTGGTGTGTTGGGATTGGATGAACTAGTTGGAGGGGACGGTAAAGGCTTGAACAAACTCTTTGCAACACTGGATGCGTGAACTACTGGACCAGTGGGGGTGCAGTTTTGCGTTGATGATTCAATCACAGAGGAGGGCTGAACATGTATTTGAGTGGCGGCAGCATTATCAGATTGTTTGTTTGTCCCTGAAGACAAATGAGTTATGAAAAAACAATTTCAAGTTTTAAGAAATAGAAATGTGCAAGAGCATAAATTTGGCACATGAATTTCTTACCTTTACTTGGTATTTTCCTTGAGGCTAACTTGCCACGAGACTTTTTAGCATCTGGAACAGATTCTGCAACAACACTTGAACCCATTCGCTTTCTTGTTGATTGATTGGTAATTGAAGACAGATTGCTATGGTCCATGGTGGTGTTCGAGGGTGTGGATGCTGGAAAGCCAGTTGGTGATTTGTACGTAGGACAACCTAGTAAGAGAGCATCAGTAAAGTAGATGATTAAATATCCAAATTCAGCACTCATTCAGAAAAACTACCTACCGTGACCCATGGAGAAGGCTCTATATGTGACAACGGTGAGATTAACATATGTTGAAAGTAATGTTGCTGTACTGTTTGATGGTTATTCGAGAATTATTATCATCAAACGTTTGTCATCCATCATTTAGCAAGCTTCAACTTAAGTAGCATATTCCCAAGATTTATAATAGCAACAAAAAGTAAATCCATCTATGGAATTAGCCCATAATAAATGGTTCTTTTTCTTCTGAAAATCCCTATTTTGTGCACTGATTTCTCCAAAATATTACAAGATCCTAGCAAACTAACAAATTATTTTATCAATCCACAGCCAATTGTACAGTTAAACATACGATCACAAACCAGGTAAAAGCAAGCAAATAAACTATATCCATCATTTATATAGGCTTTAAAATTGAGATCCCAGATTCAAACCCCAAATTTAGGTCCAAATTCTATCAGAATGACCAAAATAATAACTGGAATCAATTACCATGAAATATCCAACTAATCATATCAACATAATTATGAAAAGGATTTGTTGGGCTCACCTGCAGCTGCAGGGGATCCGCGAAATGGATTTGCTTGAGGAACTATAACTGCAGATCTTGTAACAGAGGCCTGAATCATAGGTGTAGCTGCTGGTGCTGACGCTGCTGCTACAGTTCCACCGGCATTATAAGCACTCATCACTTGCTGCATCCCATGCAAAAGATTCTGAACCCTGAATTTCTCTTGCTCCAAACGCACCCTTTCTTGATCTAAAATCACCTTTTGCTCCTTCAAACATATATACTCATTCAAAATCGCCCCCAAACTCAGTAAAGTCTTTGGTGCCTAAGAAAATTAAAACCCATTTAGATTTTTCCAAGTAGTGATTGCCCAAAAAAAATAATAAAAAAAAAAAATTAGGCCTTGCTATATGAGTACCTCTCGAACTGGAGATTTGGAGATGAGAGAAGAAGCTTCAGTCCTGAAAATGGAGCGAGTTTCGGATAAATTGTTGTCTGAGAGATATCGGTCGACAATGAATGCGATTTGGACAGGAGTTACTTTTCCCTTGCCAAGGGAATCGGTTTTTTTGGACCTGTTTTGCTTCCCCATTTTTTCAGTTCGTGTGGAAGAGATAGAGAGAGGGTGAGAATGGAAGAAGGAGATGAGGAATTAGGAATTTTAGATGGGAAATAAAGAAAAGAGGGAAATGAGAATGTGGAAAGGAGGGAGGGAGAAAATGCGCGGGCGGGAGGTTTTGAAATAATTAGGGAGGAAGTGAGAGAGGTTTTAGCGGTTATTTGGGCTTTGCATTTTGGTTCGCGGGAAACTCTAGTGGATTTTAAGCGCTAAATGCTGTAAGAGTATTAAAAAGAAAAGGACTTCTGTAAACGGATCCATGATTCCAGAATAAATTATAAATTAGTTTCTTTAATTTCAAAAAACAAATTAATTTGTCTTTATTTTTTCAGAAAATATTATTTAGTTTTTTAATCAGTATTAACCATGTATAATTTTTTATTATTTTTATTCTACAAAATATCTTCTTTTTATCAATCTTTTCATATTTTTTTCTTTTTTTATTCTTAAATAAAAAAATAAATTAAAAAAAAGAAAAAAAAAGACTAAGCTATAAGTCGATTTAAAAACATGAAAACTATGGTGGTGTTTAGTAAAATGAAAATTAAGTATTGAATCTATTAAATACTAAATTTTAAATGCTCGAATAATTAAGTACCGAATATCTTATTACTAAAAATTAAATGTTGAATATAATAAGATTGTTTAGTAAGTATTGTTGTTAAACATATTAAGACTATATACATGATAATTTAAACCTTATAATTGTAATACGATATGTTTTAATACAAATATATATATATACGAGAGAGATCACCAACGAAATAAAAGAGTCTGTCTCCTCACTCGCATGAAATGCTCGAGAGTGGAAAAGGAATTATATGTTTGACTCAAATCACCTAAAACACATATAGAAGTCATTGCATAACGAGTAAAATTTAAAACCCATATGATCCGAAACTAAGAAACATATTCTTTCGACCACCGTGATCCATTGCTCGGTATTCTAATGTTGAAAAGATCTTATTGAAGCAAGACCTAATAATTACTCGAAACAAATTCAACTCGTTATTGTTAAAAACTGCAAAAATATTACCAATAATTCCGGATGCGTAGGAAGCATCCAAATCAATATCTAAGTGGGTGTTTGAAACCAAAATTAACGAGAAGAGTCACCTTTTCCGATCTTGTAGTAATACTTGGTGTCATGTTAAAAAGACGGACATGCTAAATCTCAAAACCAAGACCATTCAAAAATCAAACAAACGCATAGTTCAAATGAATATCTTACCTCAAGCCCATCAATAAGACAATGGTGAATGTGGTCGGACTTGTATTTGTAAAAGGTGTAGTTAGTAACAATGCCCTCAACACTAAAATTGTATCTCTTATCCGATGTGCCATATTTTACGAGTATTAAAACTCGATTCATCAAATGTAACCCAAGAGATTATTACTCGTCTTCCTATTATAATTGTCTTGAGCTAAAAATCAACAAACCAATCGAGTCATTCTTAACATCAACATAAAGCAAGGCAATGGGGATGATGAGATGGAAGTATCGATAATGGATAAGCTCTCTTCTGTTTTGATAATGAGGATAAATTCGTTTCTCAATCAGCTTATATAACTAGTGTTATAAGAATACATAAGGGTTATATAGGTATATTTTTAAAAAAATTAAAAAATCTTTGAAACTGAACGTGTTAATAAAAAAAATTTAAGTTAAAAACTTTAACTTACCTAATCAAGTAGATTTTAATTGAATTTAAATTTTAAATATGAGATTATTTAGATTATCAAACAAACTTTTTATATTAAGTATAACAACTTAATTTTTTAAACTATTTGAATAGGTTATCAAACACACCCTAAATGACTAGTTTTTGAA